ACGAATTCATAGTCGAAATCCGCAGAATAGCGGATAACTGCAATTTTTCGGCGATGTTGGACAGAATGCTCAAAGACAGGATCGTCTGTGGCGTGCGGTCAAAGAACCTTCAGAAGCAACTGCTGTCATAAAGGGAACTGACATTAGCAGATGCAGAAGCGCTAGCCGTAGCGGCTGAAGCTGCTGAATTGGACGTCAAAAGAATAACTCGGGATGAACCCTCGGAAATCCTCAGGATGAAGGTCCAGGGAAAGAGGTCCAAAAAATTTCGCCCACGACAACAACACACAAGGGTTTGTGAGCACTGTGGAAGCCGAGAGCACGAAGGTAACCGCTGCCAGTACAAAGGAACGACATGTTTCCACTGCGGAAAATCTGGTCACTGGGCCCGGAACTGTAAACATCCTGGGCAATAGAGGTCATATTCCAGGCCGCATGTACAAGCAAAAGCACTAGAAGCAGCAGGGAGCTCGTCGGAAGAAACGGAAACCGAAGACGTGCAAATATGGAGCTTGAAGACCAAAACTGTGGATGTGGTTCCAGCAGTGCGACGCAAGTTCTCTTGGGGCGGAGTCGATCTGCTGATGGAAGTAGACACTGGATCACCCGTCTGTGTCATCTCGTGGGAGGTCTACACTCAGCATCGTGAACGCTGGCCTAAGCTTCAAGCATCGCAGGTGAAACTGTCCTGCTACCTAGGAAGAATACCCGTGCTGGGTGAGCTGCACATGCAAGTCTCGTACCGAGGCACCCTATAGAGTGCAGTTTGACTGTGTTGAACTGGTGCGGTCCATGTTTGTGTGGACGTGATTTAATTTTCAAGCTGAACAAGGCCGGCACTTCTGTGTTAAGCCTTACAGGCAATGTCGTGCCGCTGAGTAGCAAACCAGTCAACGTGGAAGATCTGGAGGCAGTTCTCTGCGAGTTTCAAGATCTGTTTACTCCGGGCATCGGGCTGATCACGGGACCACCTGCTCAACTGCACATAAAGGAGGGTACCACACCGAAGTTTTGCAAGGCAAGACCACTTCCTTATGGTCTGAAAAATAAGGTTTTAGCAGAACTTGACCGATTGTTGGAAGTCAGAATTATTTCGCCGGTCACACACTCAGAATGGGCTACACCAATCGTCCCGGTGCTGAAGAAGGATGGCTCGGTGTGCATCTGCGGGGACTTCAAGACAACCCTAAACCCTGCTTGTGAAGTCGAGCAGTACCCCCTGCCACGCATCGAGGATCTGTTCGCATGTCTGAACGGCGGCGATTGTTTTAGCACCTTGGATCTACGGGATGCGTACACCCAAGTAGCCCTTGACGACGCATCGAAGAAGATGGCTGTGATCAACACACACCGTGGGCTTTTCTGCTACAACCGCTTGCCTTTCGGAATATCATCGGCACCGGCGATATTTCAGCGGACGACGGAGACCATGCTCCGAGGATTAAAAGGCGTGCAGGCATACCTGGACGACGTGATATTGTCCGAACGAGCTGATGGCAATGCCTTACAGTTGAGAGCACTTCTACAACGGTTTAGGGATCACGGCGTGAAACTCCGGAAAGAGAAGTGCAGGTTCAAAGAACAGGAGGTTACGTACCTCAGACACCGTATTGACGGACAGGGCCTCCATCCACTAGAAACGAAGGTGGAAGCCATTGTGTAAGCACCGCGGCCCAAAAATGTAAGCCAGCTGCGGTCTTTTTTGGGAATGCTGACGTTTTACGCCAGATTTGTTCCCAATATGTCAACCTTGTTGAGAAGCCTCTACAAATTACTGGAAAAGGGAGCTCGCTGGACGTGGGGTGAAGCACAGGATGCGGTGTTCCAGAAAGCAAAAGAAGCTCTCAGCTCGGCAAAGGTGCTAACGCACTTTGATCCAGCGAAAGAACTGCGACTAGAGTGCGACGCCTCACCGTACGGCATCGGAGCAGTTCTTTTTCACCGAGAAAGTGGAGAAGACAAACCCATCGGGTTTCGATCAAGAACTCTATCAGCCGCCGAAAGAAATTATTCTCAACTAGAGCGAGAGGCTCTCACTCTGGTCTTCGGCGTAACGAAGTTTAGAGACTACCTATTTGGACATGAGTTCACCCTGGTCACGGATCATCAGCCACTCCTGGGGTTGCTGAGATCCGACCGCCCGACTCCCGCTATGGCTGCGGCACGAATTCAACGATGGGCACTGCTTTTGGGAAGTTACCGCTACAAGCTACAATACAAGCCTGGCCAAGAAATGCTAAATTAGGATGCCCTGAGCAGGCTACCGCTACCGGCAGTAACAACAGCAGGAGTGGAAACAGGTGCTGAAGGTGAGCTTCCCGAATGTCTGGTTGCTATGGAGCAGTTAGAGGAGGGTGTCGTGACAACCAGGGAGTTGAAACAAATGACAGCTACAGACTCAGTGTTAGCGCAGGTCAAGAACTACATCATGAATGGATGGCCCAAATGTGAGAAGAGCCTAGACTCGAACCTTCAACCGTTTTACGGAAGGAAACTAGAACTGTCGGTGGCACACGACCTGGTATACTGGGGCCACCGTGTCATTGTGCCTAGGGAGGCTAGGGGGCGCCTCCTACAACTCCTTCACGAGAGTCATCAGGGAGCATCGGCTATGAAAGCTATAGCAAGATCTCAATTTTGGCGGCCTGGACTGGACAAGGAAATAGAGCACACGTCAGCAACGTGTGACGCCTGTGTCAAAATGTTGCCCATGCCAGCGTCAAAGGCACCAGTTAACTGGCCCAAAACACACGAAAACTGGTCCAGAGTACATGTTGATTTTCTAGGCCCCTTTAGAGAAAAAATGATCTTGGTAGTGGTTGACGCACACAGTAAGTGGATCGAGGCCGTTCTGTGAAACAGGCCACAAGCGCAAATACTGTGTCGTGCTTGCGAGATGTGTTTAGCCACTTCGGGATACCCCGCACATTGGTCTCTGATAATGGTACACTTTTCACCAGTGCCGAGTTCTTGAAGTTCAGGTTGAAAAACAACATAACGCACATCAGGACCGCACCATTTCACCCTCAGTCAAATGGTCTGGCGGAACGCGCGGTAAGAACTATAAAAGATGGGTTGAATAAATACAAAACGATGACATTACAACCAGCCTGGCAAGGCTTCTGTTTAATTATAGACGGACACCATCAAGCTCGGGAAAGTCACCATCTGAACTGCTGCTAGGTTATCAAATTCGCTCGCGACTTGATACATGTTTCCCATCACACTCCACAGCAAATGCACAAGACACAGACTGGACTATCCAACCTGGGGACCCGGTGTACGCCAGAAACTATGGGACAGGAAACAAGTGGATTCCTGGAAAAGTAACGGCGACAACGGGAGCACGAATGGCAACCGTCGAAACTCCGTCCAAAGTGATAACACGCCATGCGGACCAACTACGTAAAAGGCCGCCAGACAACAAAGAGGTCATCCCGGCTCCTCCACGATCGTCACCAGGCCCATCAGCCAAGTCGAAGGTGCATGATGACTGCAGCCCACAACAACCACCGGAGACCTCGAGTGAAGTCTGTAAAAGTGCACCCCAATGACGCTCCATTCGCGTGCGGAAGCCGGCACAGCGCTTTCAATGTTAAGGGGAGAGGAATGTTATATACTAGCCGATGTCACGAGATCCAAAATAATTACGGAGTGGGTCCTCGCGACAGAGGGAGCCGCGTGAAAAATAAAGAAGAAGACTGCTGTGTTCTGAAACCGCTACACGTCTTGATATTGTCTCGTCGGCTCCGGAGTCATGGATTATTACAATCATTTTTGTACCTGCACTTTTTTCTTTTTCGGTACGCCTGACTTAGTCAATGCGGAGCAATGAAAGCTATTTGTACCTGTTTATATTTACCTCTTTGAAAGTCGGTTTCATCGCATGTCATGCTGTCATGTGCAGTTTTGCTTCACATGTTTTGTGTAATTTGCACGTAATTTTGTGAAAAATATTTGCAACTAAAAGTTTATTGAAACTACCGTTAAGTTCATATGGAGTTACCTGCATGCCATATTTTCTTTAGTTTTGAAAACGAGGTGACATTTAGCCCCTATTTTAACATCTTAAAACTCGTATGCTGCTCCCAACTTGCTCGAAGCCCTCTTTTTTGCTGCTCCCAGCCTGCTCCAAGCTGCAGTTTTTTCTGCTCCCAAGAGGGCTCCAAAGCTGCTTTGCCTAGTTCCATCCCTGAACGAGCAATCATACAGGAATGATGCACATGTGCATGCCAGTACGATGCTCACCTGGATCAAAACTGGCAGAGCGAGGGATTGAACCTGGATCCCCGAGTTCTGCAGTGCAAGCTTTCACTCCATATGCTCTGAGCTACAGTGCGTTGACACACAGAGCCACTGATTTTTCCTTGAAGTAAAGAGTCGCCAAAAAAACGAAGGGACAACTAACATTCAAGCAAAAGTGTGTGTTTCTCGACCTTGGCTTGTTCTTGACTGCAGCTCATCCTTGTACTTGCCTTGCTACAAGGAAAATAAAACGGTGCATGAAGACGCAAGCACAAGTAAAAGGAATATCTGGACACATCTTTCTTGCTCTAATCCTTGTGTCAGTTTGTGCTGCTTTATTTTCTTTCTAATGATGCATGGACTGACTCGCCCATCTTTAGGTGTCACTACAGAACTTGACTCATCTTCGTCTTTTTTACAATGAGGTTCCTTCTCACCCTAGGACCTGAAGGTGTACCACAGCTGGCTGCATTCTAAAGGCTCGTTCTCACACTTACAGCAGAGTAGGACCGGCTGAGATGAGACCAGTCTTTAAGCCTCTTGCGAAGGCTTAGGACCTGCTCTGCAGCTGCGCATCTGGTCTTATGCCGTTGCAAGGGGCTTAAAAACTGGTCTTGTCTCACTTGGTAGTACTCGGCTGCGAATATGTGAACGGGCCTGAACATTTGAGCGAGACTGTTTTCTCTCAACTTCAACTTGTTCTTGGCTTGACTTTTCCTCATCTCTTTTTCAATGTGTTGTCTCCACCGTCCCAGGACCTGGAGGTGTACCGCAGCCGCGTGCGTGAGGACATCATTGTTTGGCTGGCTAAACTGAAGGACGCCAGCGTCTACGACTGGATGCTGGTGTCGGTGGAGTGCCCCGAGCCCCGGCGGGCCAACAAGGCAAAGCTGCTGCCCAGGGCCACCGTCTTCGACCGCATGCGCGCAGACTTCCCCAGCAAGACCTCGGACAGGTACCACCGGGTTTGGCTGTTTCTCTTCTCTGCGGGCCCAGCCAGTACCACCTGAAGTTAGGGTTCTTCTTTCTTTTTTTTTTTTTTTTTTTTTTTCGGGTTTTATTTTTATTTTTATTTCCGTCACATAATTTTCTGAATGGGGGGAATTTTTCTTCTTTTTTTGATGTCGCTTTATTAAAAAATATATCTTTTTTATTTTTTTTTCAATCTGTTTCAGACTGTGACCCTAAACAGAAAAGCACACAAACGAAAATCAAGGTCTTGTCTCACTGGGTCGGAAAAAACAGAAAACTGGGCAAAACCCATTGAAGACTTTGGGAGCTTTGAACCCGTAAAAGAGGAAGGGCAACCCTAAACGAGGAGACTTGGAGGATGGTGGGGACACAACCATCGGAACAAGATAAAACATAGCAGACATTAAAATAGTCGTTGACAAAAATGAAAACCCAAAAACGAAGAACCCTATCTCTAGTCTATGTCAGATTTGGGGGTTTTTATGTGGCAAACCAACGAAGGGCATCTGGCACGCCCCAACAGATGACTGTCAAGAATAATTTGGACCACCTGGGGGTCTTTTGACTTGCAACCGAAATATCAGTTACCTTCTCCTCTGCAATGAGCATCCATAAGATTGCGGGCACCTTGGCCGGGATTCGAACCTGCCTCCTAGGGATCCGTAGACCAGCTCTGAGGAACTAAATAAATAAATAAAAATAAATATCGTGTGTATGAGGGAAGGGGTAGGCCATCCCCTAGTTGTGATGCACTTGTGCAGAGGACTTGTGTGCTAGGGCTGGGCAGTACCACGATAGTGTTTTGAAAATTAATGTCGTAGTTGTATATTTGTGTCGCAATACAGTCGCCAACCATTTTTTCGGACTCCGATATTTCGGACTTGTTCTATATTTCGGACCTAAAGGCGGAACCGTGACTTACCCCATAGAAATAGTGTATATTCACGACCAATGTTTCGGACAGCTTGAAGTCCGAAAGTTAGATTATTCGGACAAAATCGTCGCGAGCGATCAGCGGAAAACACCATCGAGAAGCAGCCATTTTGAATTCTATGTTGGCTGCCAATGGATTGGCTTGGTTTGGCAGCGCTACTTGAGCACTCCTGAGTCCTACCGCTAGGTGATGCTATGCTAGCCCTTTTTTTCCCATTTAGCTGCACGTCATCATCATCATCATTATTATCATCTTGCTTTGTTCTTCGTTCCTTCGCGTCTCCAGTCGCCATTTTGCGCTCGTGGATTTGCGCCTCTGATCTCGTTCGGACAACGCTGGCTTGGGCGTCATGGCCCCATCTGTTCTTCTGCTACTCGACCATAACGCTAGAAAAGAAGGCAGCGATTCTCAAGCTAACAGAAAGCTGTCGAACGGAAACGGAGACATAACCTAAAACAAGGCACGCAGGCGTAACCTGAACCAAGGCACTATTTACGTTTTTTTTAAGCCCACTTGGAAGTAATAAAGGCAAGTTTTTCAATCGGCTGATTTTTCGGACTGCTCTATAATTCGGACGTTTTTTCGGTTCCAGCGAAGTCCGAATAATCGGTCGGCGACTACAATTTTTCAACAGTGTTTTGTATAGTATTTGAATTGAGACATTTTCGGGAGCATTCCTTGTATTGCGACAAAATTGGGCAGTTGTATCTTGTTACAATTTTTTAGGAATTGTTGCTCTCGAAACAAAAAATCAAGCTGACCTGTTCCACTCAAGTAAGCTTTGTAATTTTGATATGCAGAATGCACCGTCTTCGGCCATTTTTGTACATCTCAGCTCCATACATTAATAAAAGTTTTATGCATACATGAAAAGTCGCCTGATTTAGACATTCCGTCAAATGCAATGTAGATGCAATAGGACTTGACAGGAAGGAAGAAAGGGCAGAAAGGAAGACAAAGAAGTTAACCTGGGATATTTTGTCCCGGTTTGCTACTTTGTTTTGGGGGAGAGGGGTGTGAGGAATAAAAGAGAAAAGAAAAAACAGACAGTTAAAAAAAAAAAAAAAAATTAAGAGCTACAAAGTTTGAACACTAACACTGCGCTATTCACTAACAATGAAGGTCATCTTCTATAAGCAGAAGTCCAGGCGTGTTGTTTTTAGGAATCTAACTAGTGCTTTTGTGGCCTTGGCTTCTTTGTGTGGATTGTCCCAAGCACCAAGCACTGTAGTCACGGAGAAGGGTCGGTTGTCTAGGCATGCTAGCGTGTTTTTGAGTTGTGTCCTTTCTGCGTCGTAGATGACACATTCACATAAGATGTGATGAATTGTTTCAATGGAGTCACAACTTGGGCACTTAGGTGTTGTGACCTGTCCAATCTGATGAAGGAACTTGTGTGTGTACGCTACACTGAGTCTCATTCTATGTATCACTGCCTTCTGTCCGCCGTGGCATATCAGTTGGAGTGTGGAATGAAAGATCCGGATCCAAAGCGTAGAGAGGTCCATACTGATGATAGGTCGCAGTATGCCACAATCTTCTTGTTTCGGTGAAGGCGTAGTGATTAATGAGAGACCGTATGTCGTTTTGACAGTACGGCACCATGACGTTGGGGGTTAAGAAATGGGCTGATTTCGCACCAGCATCAGCTGCCTCGTTCCCAGGTATGTGACAGTGACTTGGGATCCATTGGAATTTAATAGTGTGTCCTAGGTCGAAGCATCTTTTAAGATTCAGTAAAACGTCAATAAGGATTTGATCGTTTTGATTATGTCTCATAAATGTGGATATCACTTGTAGTGCCGGTTTACAGTCCGAAAATATTGTCCAGTGTTCGGGCGGCTTCGGGAAGATCATTTCAAGTGCTTGATTAATTGCCACTAATTCAGAGGCCGTAGATGACGTCATGTGGCTAAGCTTGAATGTCTTCGTTGTTAAGTGACTTGGGATAACCACACATGCTGTTGAGCTATTCAAACTTACTGACCCATCGGTGTAAACATGAGTTGTTGACGCATGATCACAAAGTATATTTGATAATACAAGTTGCATAATTACGGAGATTGGGGTGTTTGCTTTCTTCCTGATTCCCTTCATGTCCACTGTGACATCAGGCACGGGAAGCCTCCATGGGGGCACTATTGAAATCTTTGCCGGTGCAAGATCATTTGGAAAGTGGGCTCTTATTTGGAACAGAGCTTTAGAGTAGCTTGAGTGTTGACGTTGAAGGCCAATATTAGAGAGAGGGTGATTAGTATGTTTCGTAATGTGCCTTAAGTGGACTCTAACTGTTTCCAGTAGAAGCAAAACTTCCACCGGTGTAGCGTGAGCTTCTGCAATTGTGCCAGCGGTCGAGGTACAAGCCGGAAGTCCAAGACATGCACGAAGGGCGCGCGCTTGTACGCTTTTGATTGTGTTGACATTTGTTTGACATAGGCCATGTATTGCGGGCAGGCTGTATCGCAGCAAGCCTACAAAAAGAGCTCGATATAGACGGAATAGAGCCGGTACTGTCGCGCCCCACGTAGTGCCACTAATAAAACGACAGAGATCAACAAAGCCTGTGAGCTTCTTTTTTAAATAAGCGACATGCGTCGTCCATGTCAATCCCCTGTCAATGTATACTCCAAGGAACATATGTCTAGTTACGTATGGAATTGTCTGGTTACAGATACGTAGGGGATATGAATCTATGTTACGCCTTGTAAAAGCGATGGCGGCTGATTTGGCGGCAGAGATTTCAAGGCCACGAAGGTAAAGATATTTTTGAAGTCTTCCCAATGCAACCTGTATTCTTGCTTTTGCTTGCACCCGAGTAGAACCAGAGGCCCATATACATATATCATCTGCATATAATGACGCGTTAACGTTGGGTGGCAGCACTTGGTCCAGTCGAATGAGTGTAAGGTTAAATAGTATAGGGCTCAAAACGCCTCCTTGAGGAACCCCTCGGTAGACGTAGTGATCGGCTGTATCACCCTCTTGCGTCGTCATAAAAATTGAGCGTCCTGTGTCACATGTGTCACATGACACAATTGCGTCAGCGTTACAGGACACGACAATGTCACATGACACTGACGTCACCTTACACTATGATGTCATGTGACATTATGATGTCACATGACACTGACGTCACCTTACACTGACGTCACATGACACTGACGTCACGTGATGTTATGACGTCACGTGACTCCATGACGACATTGGGACGTCAAGCAGTCAGACCAGCATGAGCCAAAAAGATCTGTGGAAGGTTCTCATATAAAGATATTGCTTCAAAAATGTTTGAAACAGGGGTGTACTTCAAGAGGTGCGTTGGCTCCCCCCTTGGTTGGGTGCAGATGCTGCCAGCTGGTGGATCCTCAGCGCAGCGACTGGCACTCCACGGACTCGTGGCAAGGCCTCCTGGGGCGCATGCGGCAGCTGCTGCTGCATGCCTGCGGGCGCCACCTGGGTCGCTACGAGGACCTGGTGCGCCAGCAGAGGGAGCAGCGCACTCTGCTTCAGTGGAGCTTCCTGCGCTTCTTCTTCCTCCAGGTGAGGGGCATTTGATGAATTGAGACTTTAAAGAAATAAGAAAAATGGTGTGTCTTTGGTCTGCTCCCGCTTTCGCACCGCGGACTTAAAGCCAATATAAAGTAAAATGAATTGGATCCTTGGATCAAGTGGAAATTTCTTGGAAATGCCAATTAGAAATTAGTGGGGATAAAGGAAACCACCAATCTGTACAGCCAGTGGAACGGCCCAGGGAAAGCCAGCTGGTACTAAAAGTACCCACGATGCTCGACTCACTGTTTGCCTTTACTACTAAACCACGAGTGCGTCTCACAGCGGGTCCGACGGTCACTGTATGGCAACCATGAACCACACAGCCCCGTCGCAGTGATCACTTTTATATCCCTCGGCTCCCCTGGAGACCACCTCCGCCATCCTGCGGGGGGCGCCTCCCACCTTGGGGAGATTCGAGGGGAGCCACCTTTGTCAGCCTTCCCCTTGTATGGAGCCTCTTCTCGGATCACCACGCAGCACCCCACGTCCCGCGTCACACGTCTCGATCTCACGTGACCCACTCCACGACATACGCCCCACATGTCAACATGCTTCACTTCACACTTCCATCTTTTTTCAGTTCAGGTCGTCACATGTCATGTGTCCACACATGTCATACGTTTCATGTCATGCGGCCTCACACCGTCCCCACATCTCACGCCACACGTCAAACGCCGCGCTCCCCGCCTCAGGGGCTCCGTCCTCCAGCGGGGAAAGCTAGGGTTCGCTAGGCCCTCGTCCCCCCCCGTCCACATGAGGAACTCCATTGCTAGGGTTCCCCACCCCAGGTGGGGGGGGTTTTCGCCAGAGCCTCCGTTGCAGCAGGTGAGGGGCAGTTGACCGTGCCTTGCAGGGATGGTGTCTCTCTGCTGTTGCCAGTGGCACCCCTGCAGCAACAGAGCCATGCCAGAATTTGTATCCAAGTTTGTTTAAAACTCTTATACCAGTAAGTGAAAGTTTTGGATGCGAGCTTGTCCAAAACTCGCATGCCAGTAAGTGGGACATTTGGATGTGTTTGTTCAAAACTTGCATACCAGCAAGTGGGAGTTTTGGATTGAGTTTATCTGCAACTCGTATACCCATAAGTGTGTGTTTTGGATGTGAAGTCATCCAAAACTTGCATTACAGAAAGCTTTGAGTTTTCAATTTGAGTTATCCAAAACTTGAACCGTTAAGTGTTAGTTTTGGGATGCAAGTTCATCCACTTCTCGCACACCAGAAAGAGAATTTTAACATTTTGATGTCAGTTCTTCCAAACTCGCATGCTAGAAATTTGATGGTTTTGATTAGGTCTTTTCTCACCTCACATAGCAGAAATTTTTGAGTTCTCAATGTGTGTTTATCTAAATCTCACACACCAGAAAGTACATCTTTTTACATGGGTTTTTCCAAACTTTTATATACTACTAGAAAGCTTATTTTAGATATACATTAATCTGAAACTCTCATAGAAGAAAGTTTGATTTCTTGATGTGTGTTCATCCAAAACTCGTGTACCAGTAACTTCACCATGTACTAGAACATCTGCCACCTAGTAGCCACATGCAACTATGGCATGTCTTCAAAAAAACAAAAACATGTTTACTATTAACTGTCGTTAGATAGAGCATGCATAAATTTCTCTGATTGTATCATACTGGTTCAGTTTTTGTAGAAGAAGCTTCTTAGAAAAGCCTATTCTGTCTTAAAAAAAAAAAAAAAAGATGTGGATAAAGCTTACAGGTGATACCGAAGGCATGATTCACAGTGATACCCGACAGACTGCGACTGTCATTGCGCTGCCTGCCGTAGCCCGAGGGGGCTCATGCCACTTGACTCAAGCCCTACTACTCTCGATAGGACTGTGAATTTTTTGCTTCTGATTCATGTCCTTTAGCATCAGGATGGTGCATTGTTCAAAGGGTGTAGTAATGTTGCGTGCATAGCCAGTTGACAGTACCTGTGGTTCCAGCGCAGAGGCAGAGGTGTTGATTCCTATCCTTGGCCTCCTTGTTTCAATCTTTGATTAGCCCTGTGGGATATGTCAGTTCAATCGCACAAGTTGTTGTTTGTACCGATCTAGAATATTCACGACCAATAGGTCTGTATAAAGGAGCTGTAGGTCGCCTTACGTGGTTAGTCGTGCATTAGAGTACAACCCTGCCGTTCGTTAATTCAGCCATTCATTTGTTTATTATCTCTGCTTGTGAACAGCTGATCCCTGGCTAATGATGCACAAGCAGTAAGATAACAAAACAAATTAGTCAATCACAACTTAAATTAAATGCTAAGAATTTCGAGTTAATAATGTCAATATTCGCTTCACCGAGGAATTTTGACTTCATAACGTCAATATTCGCTTCACCACATACAAGTGTTGTATGTGGGTCACGAAGCTAATCGAGATGATTTGATTAACAAAAAAACTAGGAGAAAC